GTTCCGATCATCTCTCTCTCTTTGTGTGTGTATGCGCATGTGCGCGATATTTTTCTGCAGACACCATCCCAATGTTCTGCAGCCATTCAAATATTCATGATGTAACTGTGGTTTTAAAGCCTAGAGTAGTAATATGGGTGAAAAAACAGAATTTGAGAGAGAAGGGTCGTAGAAGTTGAAAAATAATGGCACTGCTGTTTTGATTAAGCCCTTTTGTGTAAATCTGCTTATTGATGTAATGGACAACATCGTGTAAACTTTCTCTTTTTTAGTTTTTTCAAAAACATATTGATGTTTCATGTATGCCTCGTTTTTTTAGCTAATTTGGTATTTCAACCTATATATATATATATATATTGTGATGATTAAGAAAAAGAACAGAAAAGAGAAGACTAAATTAGAGTTTTTTTTCTTTTTTGCCCCCCCGGGTTGGGGGTTAGCAATATTTATCTTTGCAGGACCTCTAATGAATTGTAAATGTGAAAAAGGTGTTAAGCTCAAGACACTGATTTTTCATTTGAAATCTCACCTGAAATTAGAGATAAAAAATTCAATTTGAAGCTGTGAACCCGTACATCAATTAAAAATCAGTCTAAATTCTTTCAAGTATATAAATGAGTTTAAACGAGTTGAACATTTAAATGGGTACGTACTAGACCACCACCTCTATTGACGCCACTCCATCACCACCTCCTCCACACCATCCACAACAATCATCCTCGATCACCCTCTCCACAATCTCAATTAGAAAAAATAGTTCAACAAAGTGGATGAGGTTGGGTTGATTTATTTAATCTATTTCAAATTTAATTTAAATTGTTTAAACTTGTTCATTAAATGAGCGAGTTTTGTTTAAGTTATTTTATTGCATAACGTATTTTGATCTGCCTAAATCTATTTATTTGCCAACTAACGAACCAACTGGCAAATTAAGCTTGGATTGAGTAGTGGGATGAACCATTTATAACATTTCTCAATCCAAGTTAAATAATTCAATTTTTTTCAATTTGAATTTTGAAAAGAAACAAGTCATTTTTCTAACCTCAAATATAATTTGTTAATTATGTATGACCTGAAAATTGTAGCAGGTTCTATCAGATAGGTTCCATCAGATTATATAATTTGTGATTCGGTCACATCTCAACTATTGCACAAAGGGTCATACCAGGTTACATCTTTGATATAATACATATATATCTACAGACATATATAGGACAATGAAATCAACATGAAATTTTAACCCAAAATGAAGAAGAAGGTAATGTTGCATATAGATCATATTTAATTTGACGAGTCATGCTTAACAAAATGAAAAATCATAGCAAGACAGTGAGAACTATCTCAATATAGTCTTAAATCTATACTATATCTATATATAAATGTAGTGTAGTTTCTAAAGCTTCCAAACTCTTAAACTTGGCCTCTCATTTAAAATTGAGACTATCTCTTCTACTTAGCAGTCTTAGAAGTTTTTCTTTTCATTTTTCCTAATTTCTAATAGGAAGTCATTTTTTATATTTAAAAAAAAAATGAGTAAAATTTGAAATAATATCCATATAGAACTCAAAATATGACCAACTCTAATTTAAGATGTTTCAAATCTAAATATTAAAAAATAAATGACATATTCCACTCTCAATTCTTCGAAGATATGATCAAATCTAATTTAAGAATCCAAATCTAATTATTAGAAAATAAATGGAATATTTTACTCTCAATTCTTCTATTATTAGAGTTTTATTTGATTTGCTTTTTTTGCCCCACATTTATATTATTTTTATATATCTTTAAATTTGAAATTGATTTTTTTTCTTCTTCCAAATCTAATTATTAAAAAATAAATGAAATATTTTACTCTCAATACTTTTATTATTAAAGTTTTATTGATTTGCTTTTTTTTCCCCTACATTTATCTTATTTTTTTGAAAACTCCTCCCTTCCTCTTCCTCTCTTAGAAGATTTTATTTGATTTTCTCTTTCAATAATTCTTAGAGTTTATCTTCAAATTTAAACTATCGAGTCTATCTAATTGAAAGTTAGATATTATCCTTTTGCAATCATACTGATTAGGTGTTGCTAGTTTTGTGATTAGAGTTTTATTGATTTGATTTTTTCCCTGCACATTTATCTTATTTTCTTGAAAACTCCTCCCTCCCTCTTCCTCTCTTAGAAGATTTTATTTGATTTTTATAATTCTTAGAGTTTATAAATTTAAACTATTGAGTCTATCCGATTAAAAGTTATATATTATCCTTTCACGATCATGCTGATCAAGTGTTGCTACTTTTCTGATTGTGATTTTTGGATTTTCAATATATTTGCGTTTTCCATGTATGCTATAAATATATCCTTTATCATTCAATTGATTTGCATGTGTGTTTGTTTGTAGGGAGCAGCTTGCCTCCAGTTCTTAATCGGATTGGACGGCGCTATTTGATCCATCGGGGTCCATTACAGGTGTAACGCCCTCAAAATAAACCCATTATATACATTTCATTGACATGCATTATTCAAAGAAAACAATTTATTAATTCATTCATCAGAGGATTACTAAACGGCAATTTATTAATTCGTTTTGTGATTAGAGTTTTATTGATTTGATTTTTTCCCTGCACATTTATCTTATTTTCTTGAAAACTCCTCCCTCCCTCTTCCTCTCTTAGAAGATTTTATTTGATATTCTTTTTCTATAATTCTTAAGAGTTTTATCTTCAAATTTAAACTATTGAGTCTATCCGATTAAAAGTTATATATTATCCTTTCACGATCATGCTGATCAAGTGTTGCTACTTTTCTGATTGTGATTTTTGGATTTTCAATATATTTGTGTTTTCCATGTATGCTATAAATATATCCTTTATCATTCAATTGATTTGCATGCGTGTTTGTTTGTAGGGAGCAGCTTGCCTCCAGTTCTTAATCGGATTGGACGGTGCTATTTGATCCATCGGGGCCCACTACAGGTCCCTTTTTGATAGTCCGAACCGTTCAATGTGTAGAATTTGTCGAGTACGATAGGTTGTAAAAAAATCACATTAATCAGATATCAATAGCTATGTAATCAAATCAGTTTTGCATTAAAAAAAAATGGACGATGAACAAATTAATGGTTGACAAAAAACTGATAAGATGAGATAGTTATCGATATTCGATCAACGTGATTTTTTACAAGCATATAGTATTCGACAAGTTCTACACATTGAATGGTTCAGATTATTAAAATAGGACTCGTAGTAGGCCCCCACAGGACTAACAGTACCTTCCAGTCCGATTAAGGACTAGAGGCAAGCTGCACCCTTGTTTGTATTACTGATTTTGTATGTGTATATATGCTACACTAAGGAAATGCTTTTTTTCCCTCTTGGATTGGACATAAAGGAAAATAGTATAGCAATTTAGAGACAAGAAGTCTAAGAAACTTATCTCGAATCATAGTAGAAGAGGCGTCCCTCAATAGCAAAATGGTTAGAAATGAAATGTAGAAACAACCAATAATTCTTTTCTCATTATGATGTGGCCTGAGCATTATTGTTTATTTATTGAATGTTTAGTATGATTTATATTTTATATGATACTTTTTTGAATGAACATTACTATTTGTTCATTATGTTTCTTCTCATTTATGGTATACTTTTATTATTGAAATAGCTTGAATATACTTGCACAAATACACATTTTTTGTATATATTGATAAAATTACAAGTTTGATATGCATTAAAAATTTAAATAGTGCTCATATACATTAGATTTTTGGTAGAATGCAATTTTAATTGTGTTCATATAAATTGTCTTTTGGTTGTAGCATTGTTCCTATTACTCATTTTTTTTACGAGTCTTACTTTGAGATATGGTAGGAAATGTTTTTTTATGGTACTGTTGTGGGTGATACTATGAGTGCTCCAATCAAAATCTAATTTTTATTTTGTTTTACGAAATTCAAAATATAATATGTACATACTTGGTTTGAAAGTCGAAAATATTATGTTCTTAAATGAAAACTCTACCATACTATACATGATTTCAACTCTTTTGTTTTTCTTTTTAGTTTTGCAATTTAAGATTAAAATTTAATTATTTTCATTACTTCTTTAATTTCTAAGATTGCAAGAATCTATCAAATTTAATACTATATTTTGTTTATGATTTTAATGGATAAATAATTCAATAAAGAATAAAGTTTAAGATTGTTAAATATATATTTTGGTTTGTAGTGTCCCACCAATAAGGTAATGCAAGTTTATCATTATATTAACAATATATCTTAATTTTATTTTTATTTTATGTTATGAAAAATAAAATCAATGTAAATGCTGCTAGTTGTACCTTCTGAGCTTCGGTATATGGGAACACTTCAAACAATTTCTCAATCCCTAAGACCCAAGCCTCAGCCTTCAATGATTCAATTCCTACCATGAATCACTGGTGGCTTCATATTTTTAAATTCCCTAGTTAAAGCAACAGTAGAAGTCTCCGACTGACACCCTGGAGCTGGAGGTGGTACAGGCATTGGTGGCGGGGGTGGTGGTTGTTGTTGCCATTGTTGTTGTTGTCTTATGGCTTCAGCCATGTCTTGCATCATTCGTTCCATTCTATCCAATCTTGAGGAGGTTGCCTCTTCTAGTTCATCACGCCTTGTCCTCACCATTTTCTATATAAAACTTGTACTACAACAAACACAACAAATAAAATATATCCACATAAACAAATTCAAAACATGTGATCATACAATTTGTCTCACTCTAATATTTAATTATACATGAATGCACTCCTAAAGTCTCTTCTAGACCCTCTATAGCTTAATGGACAAGTGAGTGAGATATAACTCATGCTCTGATACTACTTTGTCAGGACCCAAACCTGCCCCTACAAGTTTAGCGTCATGATCGGCCAGTAGTCATAGATTACTTACGGCCTCCATACAAGTGAATCTGTTAATATAAGGTACGGGGCTTCGCAGAAGTCTAAAAATGGCATAGAAATTATCCATTAAGTTGTGCGTATATAAAGAAAACTAGTATAATAAGCAAAAACTTGTTCCCGAAGTATATTGTTCACTATTATATAAAATTCACGTCTTGCAAATATACAACCCCAACAAAACATTTATCACAAAACCACTTAAACAAACAAAAAAGGGTTCCACTAATATGGCTCCACTTGAGCCTGATGACTTCACTTGGAAGCTCCTCAAAAGGTTGACCCGGGGCAGACTTGAGGCTTCCTAACTCTGATGTTTAGCTTGCCCACCTACATATATATACATAAATAAATAGTGAGCTAGAGCCCAATGAATAATAACAGAATAAAAAGGTTAAATGAATAAAGCTCAATAATATTGTCAAACCAAAATTTCATTTCATCATCAAGATCTTTCAATATCATTTTATGTGGTACATCTATTAAGTGACAACATTCCGGTGATAACGGACTATACTAGAGATCTTTGCATGTCAATCAATTCAAAAGCCATGGTATTATTACCCGCAGGTAAGAGCCTAGCCATGGTATTGTTACCCCTAGGCAAGGGCCTACATTTAATGGACGCCACAAAACCATTTCAAAACAGAACTTCATTCATCATGAGAAAACAACGTTTCAATAGGCCATGTTATCAATTCATTCAATCAATCACGCATCCATTTCGATAGTAATAACATTTTCGAAAATAAGATAAAATGAACGTATCTTTATATTGTCACTAAACTTCGGACGTTTACCTAAACAAAACATATAACAAAGCACAATTGAAACTCCATTTCACTCTAACTCAATTCTCTTTATGTGTTTCTAACTCATTTTGTGATTATATGAGTCTAAATGGTGCCTAAGAACACTTGGAGTGGCATGAGGACGCAAATATGCACTTAAAAGAGTTTCTTAAAATTTGCTAAAAACAGGGTCTCTGCTCAAGCGTAACTTCCTTCCCTCAAGCGGGGGTTCAAAAACAAAGGCAGTCGCTCGAGCAATCTGCAAACTTGGCAAAAGTACTAGTTGCATGAAATTCTCGCTCAACGGTCGCTCGAGCAAGGAGGCTGAGTAAAAAGGGTCCTCGCTCGAGCGGTTTGAAAAATTTTATAAAATTTTTGGGAGCTCAATTTTCACGTTCAAGCGAAGCTTTCCTCGCTTGAGCGGACAACACGAATTCTGGAATTTCTAGAACTGGGTTTGAGCTTCAAAGTTGATATTCAAAGGTCCAAAACTTGTGTATTTGGTACAAAAACTTGGAAAAACATTGTATATCATGAAAATACTTCCAATTTGAAACCATTTATTCAAAATCAAACTCCAATTGTCCAAATTTGAGCTCCTACTATCAAGTTAAAGCCATGCATGTTATGAATTGAGTTCTCATGTTAAACACCACAAAGTGATATGAAGTGCATGAATCCATGGATGATCTTCAAGTTCATGCCTCCTAAGCTTCATGCATGTATGAATTTCAAGAAATCTTAATTCAAAAATGAAAGATTAAGCATGCATGTGCATAATTCAACTCAAATTCATCCTATTCATGGTATTCATGCTCAACCTACTCAAATTCAAGCAAATGACCCTATAACTCCATGCTCTTAGTTTCTACATGACTCAATTCTAAGAATTTAGGATAAATCTCATACCTATTGTGTGTTCCAAGTGTGTTGTAGCTCCAACCCTTCAATCTTCCACAATTCTCTACAATCTCTTCTTCCTCTCTCTCAGTGTTGTGTTCAACTCTTCCCTCTCTCTCAAATCTCAGCCCAAGAGTGTATAAAATGAGTTCAACGCTTAAATTGAGCCTTATATAAGATGTGATTAAGTTAGCCTAATTAAATGTGGTTAGGATTAGTGAATTAGGCTTAACTCTAACTAATTCAATCAGTTTACTCTATTTATTTTGATCCAAATCAAATTTCAATTGTAGTCACCATAAAATTCTAAATATTCCAATTAGCCTATTGGGCTAGTCAGTTTCAGCTTCTAAAGTCATCTATGCTTTCAATTATTGACTCTAAATTGTCGATTTAAACAAATATTCCATATATCAACAGATAATTATAGAATTAAACACTTAATCACACAATCAAGCACATAATCATGCAGTTAAACTTATTTAAATTATATAATGTGTTATTTTGGAGGTCAAGGTCGTCACACCATTGTAGGAACTGTCTGAAACTAATGCAAAGACAATTTAAGGTCATGTCGGACTATTGGAGAAACTGACTGGAACTAATGTCGAGACAGTTTAAGGTCATGTCAGACTGTTGTAAAGACTGGATGTTGAACCAACAAGTGTGGCACACACATAACTTATGACGTGGTGCTAAACGATGATGGCAACAGATGACTGAGTGCGCCAGGGAATGAGTTTGGTGGTGCACTAGAGGAAGCGGCTTGGATTATGTGCCAAAGGAGGCGGCTAGGTGGTTTGTATAGGTATAACTATGTTCATCATGATATAGGTATAATAAATACCCCCCTCCCCCCTCAAACTCAAATAAGTTTGAAAATAGAAACCAATTTGAAGTGAAGCAGAGGGAAAAGAGAGTGGATAAAAAAATAGATATTACGAGTAAAAAACAAAAAATATATATATGTGTGTATATATATGATGGAGATATTTGGGGTAAGAATAAACCAGCAGATAAAGGAAAAGATCACCACGAAGCGATACTGACAAGAAAATATGACAGCGGAATAGGTTGAGATCCGACGGGAGGCCAAGGTAAGGTGGCCGTCCACCAATAAAGCGAAATTACTAGGTACTTAACCTAGCTCTGATACTATGTTAGAATAGTAGAGACAAAAAGAAAAAAAAAAAAAAAGAAAAAAAAAGAAAAGTTGACCAATCAAAACTAAAGGGGGTCAAGGGGGTGACCCCCAAAGGGGTCTCAACCTTTATTCTACCTTAAAACACCATATGGCCATACTTCAAGAATACCCAATAACCACTCCATGGTAGGACCACTCTACACATATAGGTCATGGCTCCATAAGATGAAGGGAATTAAGAGTATGGTGTGATTGAGTAAGGAGATTAGTAATGTACTAGTATTATGTTGGAGATGTAGGATAAAGAATGTTTGTTAGTAATGTTATAGATAGTATTAATATATATAATTAATATTTTTAAATTTTTAGTATTTTCAATATTATAATAATAATTATTATTTTTTTGTTCTAAAAAATATAAATTTTTCTTAAAATCATTTAAAAATTCACTAAATATAAAAAATATATATTTTTTAGTATTTATTAAAAAATTTAAATATTTCTTTCACTAATAAATTATTTAAAATATAATAATGTTAAAAATGGTCATTTATTTTCAATTCAAAGGGATTGGATTAGCAATCCAACTCCCCAATGGGTATGCTAATCCCATTCTTAGGGACGATCGGTAGTCTAATTGAACTAATAGTCCTACAACATTTTAAATATGGAAAATATGGTTTTGATGGGCCCCACAGATTACTCTACTAACCGTATCTCTAATGGATTGCTAAAACACCTACTATTGCCAAAATATGGCAACTTGGGCAAAAGATGAGTTCTCTAGTGGCATCCTATAGCAGCTGCCAAATTTGGCATTTGCCAAATCTTGTGTCAAAGTTGGCACAAGCTTTGGCAACTACCAAATCTGCCAGCTCACCCAAAACCAATTGCTTTCCTTCCTTTCCTTCCTTCATCTCTCCCTTTTTTTTCTCATCCTTCCCTAGAAAAAACTCCAAAACAGATAATTTAGAATTCACCAATTTGTTTAAGATAAAATACCAATAAATCCCAAAATGTGATCTTGTAAACTGTTTAGTCTTTACTCTTTTTTTTTTATGAATTCAAAGGTCCCATTAAAGTGAAAATTATACAAAAGGGTAGTCACTTACATGTTTGGATTTAATTTTTTATGGATAAAAGTGAGTTTTTCTAAATTTAAAATTACACATTTAAGCAATTTACACTACAAAGGTTTTGAATTTTCCCTCATTTTGGAACAAATCTCACATTACGAACAAAAAATGTAACACTCCAATAACGTAATACTCCAATGTAGCACACTAAAAAACTCCTTAGTGTATTTTTCTCAAATGTAAGACTCCAATCAATGCAATCCCAATCATAACACTTCAATGTAACACACAAAAACACCAAAAAAACTTAATGTGCTTTTTTCAAACATAACACTCATAGTTTGAAATTATACATTTGCTCAAAGCTTATTAATGCATCTTTGTACTTCTTTTGAGATAGTTTGAAGAAATCCCACATCCTTTTTTTGGAGTGTTACATTAGAATGTTATGTTTAAAAAAAGTACAATAATGGATTTTTTTTATTTTTTTGTATTATATTGGAATTTACACTAAGGAGTTTTTTTTTAGTGTTATATTAGAGTGTTACGTTTGAGAAAAGTACACTAAAGATTTTTTTTGAAATGTTACATTGGAGTGTTACAATTTGAAATTATACATTTGTCCAAATTTTATTAAGGAGTTTTTGCACTTCTTTTGAAATATTTGAAGAATCCCATATTTGAAGTCATTTTTTTACTCCTTTTGAAATATTTTTCAAATAAAAAAGATTCCCATATAAAAATCATCCCAAATTTGATTACCATAAATTGTGAGTTTTCTAGCACAAAAGAGAATGAAACAGAATAGAAATAAGGGTATATAACAGTATCTAATTTCTAAATAATATATCAAATCTATATTTCCAAAATCAATAAGACTAATTGGTCAGAAAATCCTTAGGACTAAATAGATCATCATTCCTCAATATGGGATTTATAGATAAATTTTTCATTTGTTTATACAAATTTAGCATTTTTTTTTTTGTCAGCAAAATTCTCCAAAATTTGCTCAACAGATCAGGCAACAACAACAACAATCAAGTAATTTCAAACAAATTCAAACAAGTTTGAAGCAATCTCAAACAAATTTCAAATAATCTTAACAAATCTCAAGAAATCTGAAACGAATTTTAAACAAAAATACCTGGATTTGAAGATGGTTGACGAATTTCAGATGATTTCAGCATTCCAAAGAGTTGGCTTCATCTTCTTCGTTTTCATCTTCTTTAGAAAGCCAATTTGGATGCTCTGAGTTTCATTTCAAGGGTTTCATCTTCTTCATGAAGTGATTTCAAGGGTTTCGACTTGATTCAATCAAGGGTTTCGGTTATTTCAGACATAGATCGAAGATACAATAGGGTTTCGATTTCAAGGGCTAGGGTTTAGACAGAGATAGAATAGAGGGTTAGAGAAGATGAAGCCGAAATCCTATGTTCTATCGAATAATGCTTTGTGATCTGTGATCCTCATCAATTGATCTTCACCGAAGATGAAGAGAAAGATAAAGAAACAAGGGCGTGGTTGTGGGATTGTGTGAGACAGAGATGGAGAGAAAGAAAGAGGGGAGTGGTTGTAGCGATGAAGATATGGTGGCGGTGGTAGGGAAAAGATGAGAGATAGGAGATAGAGGCTATTTGGTAGGGTTTATTTTCAGTTTTATTTTAATTTTTAGTTTAATTTAAGTTATTTTGATATTTTTAGTTCAGCTTAATAATATAGTTTATAGTTTTTTGTAAGATAAAAATCAACTTATTCTTTGAGTGAGAGAAGAGAAACTTAATTTATAAGTCAAAAATCTACTTATGTTTACAACTATAAGGTATAAATTATTATGTTGTAAGTTATAATCACTTTCTCACAATTCTACTAAACGGGGCCAGAGTGGACATGGTGACTATATATAACATGATAAAAAGAGTGAATGAGTGAGAAAAAGCAAGGGTGGTTGTGAGCCGTTGGATGTGAATGGTGGGGTGGATTTATATTTTTTTTCTAATTTTTTTTTTTATATTTGTGGTAGATTGTAAATATTTAATTTTTTTAAAAAAGAATTATAAAAAGATCATAAAAGACAAAAACAAAAATAAAAAAACAAAAAATCACTCAAAAAATTATATTCAAACACCACCTTAAAAATAGAAAGGAAAGTTGATTGGAAATATGCCAAAATGGCATATCATTATTATAATTTGATATTTTACTACTGTAGTATATTAAATTATAATTTTGGCAATGTTATTCTGACAATTAACATTGGAGATGCTCTAAGCCAGCAAAGTCGTCGCTTTGGGTTTCGAAAATTTGACTAAAAAAAAGTTTTAAAATTTTGTTAACTATTATATTAGTTTATTAAAAAAAATTAAAAATCATACTAGAATTTAACGAGTTTCAACAAAATTTAGTTATGATTCAAAACTAATAGATGGTTGATGTGGTAAATTATTAAAACTAATAGATAGTTGCTTTTTATCCAAAGAAACCAAAAAACTTATTGATGTGATGAATTCTTTGAAAGTATTGAATGGTTATTTTTTAAATGTATAGATTATATATAAAATACGATTGACTATACTACTTACAGTTGTAATTTTCAAATTAAAATTTTTATATTCTTTAGCATCTTCTAGATACTTTCTCTCAATAAATTTTATTTATCCAAAAAAAAAAAAATTGTATCTTTGCTCAACTATGTTAAATGAAATATTAAATGAATTAGCAATTTTATCCATCGAAAATGATTTAGCTTATAAGTTGGATTATGCGAACTAGATTATTAATTTTATAGCTAAAAATGCAAGAAGAATGATGTTTAAGTGATTTTTGTTACAATTTGTTCATTTTTTATTGTTACTTTAGTTTAGATTATTTTAATCATTTTTCTTATTGTAATGTATACTAGAAATAACCTTTTCACGATGACTATCAAATATAAAAACAAAAAAAACAAAAAAAATTAAGACACATAATTATTATTACTTTTAAAAAAATATGAAAGGTCCCATGTTGAAAGTTCACTTTGCATCCCGAAAAAGTCAGAGCCGACCCTATTACAGGGTGATTATTCAGTAGTTCAGAAGTATGGTCACGCGATACTCTATGGTAGTATGATTCATGGAGAAATTGGGGCATTAATTATTTGCATTGGTAATTGAGGAATATGAGGTGGCATAAGGAATAGTGATTGGTGAGGGAGTATGCTCATATGGTACTCCAAGAGTACCTAATAATTTTCCCTACCAAGATTATTTTGGGTAAAGTGAATGTATGTGGGGGTCTATATATGAAATGAATCTAAGCCATTAATGTAAAATTTTGGATAATTCTGGGTTTTTATGTTTGGGTCTGTAGCATTATTGGATTGAAAAAGTCTGAGTTCTAGATTTAACCACCTAAATTTTTTAGGGTGAGAGATTGTGTGGTGGATATTGAATTTGTGTAGTGTAAAATTCATGTACAAAATAGGGGGTGTTTGATAACATGATTTAACACTTAAAACTAAATTGATTAAGTGATAATCAATTAAGCTCGTTTGATAACCATAATTGATATCACTTAAAAATTTAAGTGCCTCTTAAAATGTAGGTTAAAACTTAAGAAAAATTTATTGAATTTTGACTGAATTTATAAATATTAAACATAAATATTGATATACACAATTATAAACTTATTACCACTATCGCTACCATTACTACCACTATTATGCCACCGCCACCACTACCACCATATCACTACCACCGCCATCGCCACCACAACCACCACCATCATGTCACCACCACTATCGCCACCATCACCACCACCACTACCACCACCACCATGCCACTACTACCATTACCACTACCACTGCCGCCATCATGTATCGCAACCACCACCACCACCGTTACTACTATCACCTTCATTACCATTGTCATTATTGCCATGACCATCACCATTATTTTATTACTATAATTATCGCTATCACCACCACCATCACACTGCCACCACTATCACTACCACCACTACGACCACCACTATGCCACTCCACCACCACCACCACAATATAAAAATTAAAAATAATAAATTTCAAATTTTATCTAATACATGTCAAATAATTTATTTTTAATTCAGCACTTAAATTTTTATCAAACAACTTTTCAACTTAAAAAATTCAGCATTCAATTTTTAATACTTGTTTTTCAGTCTTTAGTTTTCAAATTTCAACTTTGTCAAATACCACCTAAATTTGAATCATAAAACAATAATTCTAAATAATTTATAAATTATTAAATTTGAGTTCGTAATAGGAATATTTGCTAATAAATCTCATCTCACAAACAAGTATTTCAATTAGTCTCAAGTTTTTTTTATTGATCTGTTAAGTTCTATTAGTGGAGAGTTTTCCGTGTGGTCCTATTTTTGATTTTGGTAGTATTTTGGCGGATAGTTATACATTTTTATTAATGTGATAGGTATGATGCGATACTCCAATGTGGTAGGTATTAATGTGATACTCCAATGATGTGACACTCCAAAAGAATTAAAAACTCATTAGTATACTTTTTCTAAATGTGACAACGTGGCAGCTATGACGTGACACTCCGAAACTTTTATTCAAAAAAAAAAAAAACTCTTTAATGCATTTTTCTCAAATGTGATAACGTGACAAGTATGATGCGACACTTTAAAAAAATAAAAATTTCTTAATGTACTTTTCTCAAACGTGACGGGTATGATGTAATACTCTAAAAACAATTAAAAACTAATTAGTGTACTTTTCCCAAACATGACATGTGACACTTCAATGTGACGGGTATGATGTGACACTCTAAAAAAAATAAAAACTCTTTAGTTTATTTTTCTCAAATGTGACATCCTAACATAACGAGTATGATGTGATATTAAAAAACTCTTTAAAATACTTTTTTTCAAATATGACACTCCAATGTGACGGACAAATGAGTCATTGCACATCTAAAATAACTAAATGAATCACAAAAAAAATATGAAATTATGTAGGTTACAAATCCAAAATATAAAATTTATTGATCAACATCCCTTCGTAATATTGCTGACTTAAAGCTTGTGGAACAAAACCGGTTATGTTGTTGGCTCATGGTTTTGTTCAAGAAAACGGTGGGTTGGGCTCGTTTTGTCTTTTGAAAACTTATTCTTTAGAGTAACTGTTTTGTAGAGTGTCACGTGGGTCTCCTTCAATAATGTACAGATTTGTTTGCTTGTTTAAATATGGGCTGGTGAGGCCAACTGTGAAGGAACTTAATTTGTTAAACCATCCTATTTGATCCCAAGAAGCACATGGGTGTTGGTGATTTTTTTTTTTTTTTTTAACTAGCCCATGGTTGATTATTGTTGTAGTTTTGTAATCATTTTGCTGGGCCACGACCTGTGTTGTGTATTATTAGATGTACGAAGTGTGTTTTCAAGGTGATTTTATTTGCACTAAAAAATAATAAATATGCTTAATTAAAATGTTAAAATTTTAAATTTTATTATATTTTGATATAAATTTATTAATAAGAGTAATACATATTAAATTTTAAAATAAAATATTATATTGTTTCTCATAATACATCCTAATCACTTATAGGTATTTTTTATATCAAGTCTTTTCATCTTCCTTCTAAAATTTTAATTATTCTTTTTTTTATTCTTTCTTACTTCAAAATTCCAATTCATCCTATCAAAATTTACTGTTGTCATCAATATTATTATTTCTTATTATGTAGTTACTTGTAAATAGAATAAAATTTAAACAAAATCAATGGATGAGAATAATAATTAAAACTGATTTTTGGATCAACCCATCAAAGATGAGGTAGGTATTCACATAAATATTAAAAATACAATTCTTAATTTATATATTTTTTTAACATAAAAATAAATATTTAAAAATTTAAATAAAACAATCTTGTTTAACACTAGACGGTGGAACAAGCCATCAGAGGGTAAAATCAAACATTATGGCGCTAAAAAACCTAAAACCACTATCCTGTAGAGTCCTCCTAGGATTCATACTCCTGAAAGATAATGCTTATCCTTCAACACCCCCTCACTGCTTAAACCAAGTGAGATGGTTTTACTATGGCCGAACTCCAATATGATCGAAGTAATCATGATCACGTCGAGCCACAGAGTAGACCGAACTATCGTTAGTTCGGTTCTACCTTCAGTGTTCTTACTCCAGTTCCTCCATTGTCAACAGTGTTAAGTCTAAACCGATCTAACTTCTGGCAAGGCTTTTAGACTGGACTAACCATACTGTGCCTTAACCGATATAAGTTCAACGCATCCTTAAACCGGTCTAACTACAAAGCGTCCTTCAACCAGACTAACATCAAGAGTAACTCGGACCGGTCTACCTTCTGGGCTTGAGATTGGGCTAACTTTAAGCCTCTTCAAGACCAGAGTAACTTTATGGCCTCTTCAAGACTGGAGTAACTTTATGGCCTCTTTACTCAGCCCTTCGTACTGAGGCCCATAAAGGCCCAGCTCGGCCCAATTTTGCATATAAATTACCCTCTCAATTGCCCCTTAATTCCATCTGTGTAGCATGATAGGGATTACCTGTCTATAAACCGGGCTAAAGTTTTACCTTTTCAACCGAGCTCAAAAAACCCTTTGGC